GTGTGAGGATGCAGAAAACTATAGATTAATAAAATAAATGCAATGGGATGTCCCAAAATGTCAAGCCTTCTAGAAAACAGGTTCAACTGTACCAATAGTTTAGACCAGTAGATTTTGCATTTTTTTTTTAATTAATAAAAGAAGAGGCTCAGAAAATTCACAGCTACTGTTTTCTCGATTAAAATCAAGATACAGCAGATGCTGACTATGTAGTTCTGCACAGTGGTCATACAACATTCCTAACAGCCACTCTTCAGAATTGCTGTTTTAGATGATTGCACAAGGCAGAAATTTAACTGCTTTTCACATTTAAAAAACTTAACAAACTTTTATGCCAATGATTAGATAGGTTTTACAGCAACATTGGTAAATCGATATATGTTTCAAACTCTCATAATTTCTCAAAGCCTTCAGGAATCACAGAGGAGTTAATTCTGGAGCTGTCTGGCTTGCTGGGGCTGCCAGTTTACATGAAAGAGCTGTGCTCCAGCCTAGGATCTATTAATCTGCAATTTAAAAAAAGGAAGGTACAACCTCATTGTTATCACAGGGTTATCAAGAGGGATTCTAGCTGGCACTGACTTGCTGTATCAGAAGTGCATTTTTCTCTCTTCTCATTAGAAATGTTGTGTCTTATATAGAATAGATTCTACGGATTATTTATGCTGTAAAGATTTAGAATAAAAAAGGTTTTCATAGCTCTGAGAAATAAATTGTTTGAAACCACTAAACTAGCCAATTTCCAAATGCATTTCCATTCAGATACACAAATAACAAGTCCTTCATTAGGGCACCAGTTGTTCGATGACATTAGCTGAATCTTACCAATATTATTGATCTATTCAATGCTTATTTCAGTAAGCAGCCCCATGGATGTTTAAAAGCAATCTTTCGAATTGACTGTTCAAAGGAGCTGGTCCATAAATGTTAAATCACTTTCAGGATTTCAAGCTGAAGTGAACTTTTCAAATATATTTTCACATATTTCTCCAAGCTTATCATTCTTATCTCCAAATCTGTATGCATTGTCTCCAAAGTCTGTAGATCTCTCTCTCCTTTTGTTCCACACCTCCCCAAATATCAGCCTAGTGCAAGTTGGCTCCAGCAGACGATGAGGGGAGACAGCATTACCTGTCCTAACATACTGCCAACGGTACCACAGTGAGAACCGAAGAGAGGAACATGTGGGCTGGCTGCAAAGCCAGAGAAGAACCTTTCTGGTTTAAACTTACACTTTTTGGACAAAGATAGAAAAAAGACCTAAGAGAAACCTCCGCTGCTTAAGAAATTTTCTTTTTCTTCTATAATCCAAACAGAATATAGACAAAAGAACTTAAAGCATTCAATGTAATACATTGGAAAGGGCAACTCCATTTATCACCATGATTATTAAAAGTAAATGAAGTGGCAAGGTTCAAACCAATTCACCTTTGTTTCCCACTTACTGCAGCTATTTATAGCCAGGCAAAGCACATGGAATATTGTTGCCACTTTGATTTTGAGATCTAACATTCAGCTAATGCTTGTGAAAATAAGGCACATGATGCAGGGCCACGCGGAGTTTGGCTTCATGTGATCAGGGATGTGCAGGACCTAAAGGCAGGCCACCAACTGAAAAAGCACTAATCAAGGAGAACAGGGAGAAACCTGTCACAATAACAACATCACATGTTCCTTGATAATGCTTCAGTGGAAACCTCTCATAGCATACTCTGTGTTGTCTTTGCATCTTTAAGAAATTAAACTGTAAATCTTCCAAGTATATATATAAAAATTTCTAGCTTGCTTTTTTTTCCTACAGAAGCAGAAACCAAAGACAACTGGAAAATCTGTAGTTCACTAAAAAATTAAGTATTTCAGTATTATTTTTCTCCTCCCTAGAATTAACTTGATGAGACTACCACCTAGTAAGAAATATGATTTTAAAACACTATTTGAGTTTTCAACTGTTGGTGCGCTAACAAAAAAGTATTCCATTTTGCAGCAGAGGAAGGATTCACCATCAAAGGAGACTGGCTGTCAGAGATGAAAGAGAGTAAAGAAATGGAGAGAGCCATTTTAAACATATAAGACAAGACTTTCATCTCATGCTGGACCATGTGGGACAGTGCTGTTAACCTTGGGAAAAAAACTGACAGGAGTGAAAAAGGAAAAAAGATGAAGAAAAAAAATGAATAATTTACCTTCAATAACTTTTCTGATCTGTACTGACATGTTTCAAGAAGTCTACATTTATGCTTTTCCGTGGGTGAAGGTTTTGCCATGTGTTCCCTACATATTTCTGTACATCCAGAAGTGTTGATACGGGTTTTTTGACAGTCCGTGTGTCCTTCGCCCACTTGCCTGCTCAAGTGCTGTCTTTGGATACCTGGGCAGAGCATAGCTGGCCAATGCATGGACTACTCCTTTGCCTGGGTCACTCACATACCTTTCTTTCACCTCAGCAGTGTGTGACACTAACTGAAAAAGCAGTGTTAAAGCCAGACGTTTCTGCAGTTTGTGTTATTTCTGCCTGAAGAGCAGCTCCACTCCAATTCTGCAGCTACAGAAGCGAGTGCTCCCAGATCCTCCTTGTCAGTCGTCTCATTGGTGCTTGAAAAACTCCCTCTGTGGGATTCCACAACCTCTTCTCCGCAATGCATTTGTAGACTAAATTCTCTTTTCTCTTTGCAAGTGCCTTCCTTACACTTAAGTGATTTTTTTTCTGAGAACTAAATGGATTACTTTTTATCTTGCCCTTGAGGGACATGAAAAACAATTGCTCACAATCTTTTTTGTAAGAACCTTTTCCATGTTTAAGTTCCCTGTCAGCTTTCTCTTTTCCATACCAAATCAGTCAGTTCTTTCAAGTCTTCCCTTTGTGTCACAGCATATACTTTTAAGTCTCACTCTAGGTGCTTTGACCCTTAATAGGTGGCAGCCCAGAGCGGGCTCAGCTGATCTCAGCAATGCAAGCCACGTTGGAAGCGACAGCTTCGGTGCCCACGGAATCTGCTGTTAACATCTCCAGGAACTCTCAGTGAGGATTTTAGAGCTAGGCAAATGGCTTTGTACCTGCCCTTTAAGGGGTGCTCCCTCCGCTTCCAGGCCCCAGCTTGGCCGCTTCCTGCCACTTTCCTCCGGACCACACTGCCACCTGGGTTTCCCAAACCCACGGCCCCGATCCCTCGGGGTGGCTCGGCGGTGCAGAATGCTGCCCCACGAGGAGAGCAAGCTCTCCCTCACCACAGCACTGTGTGGTGGCCACTGAGGTCTTCCTTTCTTAAATCATTTTGTTCAGGGATCTCTATGTCGTGCCCAAACGAAGCAAACCGGGGCGCTCCCCTTCCATCGGGGGGTGGGGGTAGCTGCTCACCTGCGCCCATCCCCGCGGTGCGGGGCGGGGGCGCGGGGGGCAGCGGGCGGGGCCGGCTGTATCGGCACCCTCCGCGGGGGCTCGGGCATCTCTGCACGCCGGGCGGTGCGAGCGCAGCCCACCGGAGGGGGTTGGTGGAGTGGAGGCGGCGGCATGGAGGGCGCAACTCGTCCGGGAGTGGCGCACGCCGCGCTGCTGCTGCTGAGCCTCTTCCCCGCCAGGTGGAGCCGCGGGCGCGGGGGGCGCGGAGCCCGGCGGGGCCGGGGCCGGGGTCGGCGCGGGCGGCGCGGGGAAAACTTCAGCGCTGGCGGCCCCTTTCCAGCGGAGGTCGAGCGGCAGCCCACGGTTGTGTCCAGCATCGCCCCGCGCTGCCCTTGCTGGACGCCCCGCCGGGGGATAAATAAAGTCCTTTGTTTGCTATGCGCGGGTATCTGGGGCTAGGAGAGGCGCAGGCAGGGACCCCCCACCCCCTTTCCCCCCGCCCCATCTCCTCCGCCGGGCTGTTTTGACAATAAACTATCTGGTGATCGGTACAAAATGTCCCCGCGGTTCAGTGCTCGTTGAACAATGGGCAGGAACGAGCGTCCTCCGTCAGGTGTCCAGCGCGCCCGGCGGGGTGAAGCCTCCCCGGCGGGCTGATGGGCGCTGAGCCCCGAGGTGTGGCGCTCGCCGCGGGACGGGGCATCGGATCCGGTATGCTCTGGCACTGACGGACTATCGCGGGATGTCAGCCGGTGGTAAAACTTTGGTGTGTCGGAGGTTCCCTTCCACTCCTTGCTAAAAAGGGGGTTTACCTGCCTGACCTGACAGCCCTGGCGCACAGGGCTACTGATTTTTAAATACTGCATCTGGCTGTAGCGCAGGGCAACTTTGCACATGGCTTTCGGAGTCGCCGTGCAACTCCTTGCCTGGTTTGTAGGCTTACGAGGAGTTTGGCAGTGTCCAGAGCAAGGTGCTGTAAGGAGGTCGGTGCTAGACCCGTGGAGGAATTTGGCCCTGGGCATATAAGTCTGAAAGCAGATAACGTGAAAGGTTATTTTATTACTTACCTCAGAGCAAACTGAGGATCCAGGGAAGCGATGCACGGCGTTAGGTGTTTAACGTCTGCTGCCACCAGCAGAGAGGAGCCTTGCAGAGCACCCTGTGTGAGACAGTCAGGGAGGGCTCCGCCAGCCTCTGCCCATGCTGCTGGGAGCAAATACAACTAAAACATCGGGAACTAACTGTGGTGACAATTTATATTTCTTTTTGTAAGCAGTTTACTTAGGGATGTGAGGGGGTCACTCACTAATTTATGAATATTTTTGTTTATAGTTTTGTTAAGGTAACTTTTTGTGTTTACTCCCTTTTGTTCATTGATAATCTGAACGAGAGTGTGATATCTGAAAATCTGGACTTTCCTATTAAGAAATATCCACATAGGGCTGCAAAATGCTGTGGCCACGGGGGTGGGAAAGTCACCTACCAATGAGCTATTCCTAGAAAGAAATTTAGAAAATATTGAAATGATCAATACCTGCCAACTTTCTTTACTTCATTTATTTCTTACCTGCACTTGAAGGTTATCCTTCATCATATGGTTAGACTGTCCTTAAAGAGAGCTTGGGGAACAGGTCACACTGGCAGCATCTCCCGGAAGACAGAGATGCAAGTTCCAGAGTACTGGAGAGGTAAGGAGGGAACCTTTGTCATGATCCTTCCTGTTGTTCTGGATTCATACACTTAACCTGTGGGAGACTTCACCTCAGGGGTACATCAAACAAACTTGTGTAAACAAAAACACAGCGTGTTGTAGGCAGAAATTACTTGCTGCTGCAAAAGACAACTGTCTTTGGGTATGTATGCGTCTCATCTGCGTATCACACAGATGTGTGAGTGTATGAGTATTCCGGGCTAGTTTTATGCTGCTGGAGGAGGTATCAGAGTGATGACTCCTGTCCTTGCAACTGCCTAGGGAACATCAGAAGTGGCAGGCGGGACAGAGCTAATTTGCTGTTCTGGATTGCTCTGGAGCTGGCATGATCCTGGGTTACTTTTGGGTTTGCCTCAGTGCAGACACTTGGCCAGGATAATCTCCCACATTCCCTATTGAGACCTATCCTGTTTATCAGTATACATGTTTATATTAAGTATTTTTCTTTGGCTGTTGGTCAACAGCTTCTTCCTTTGGTTGCAAACAGGGAAGGAGGATGTAGAAAACAGAGCTTAACATAGCTTCTCAAAGGGTAAACCATTCATCTCTTCTGTCCATAGCCCCTTTCTACTTTTTGTTTTTCTTGCATCCTAACATATGCTTCCACACTTCCTTCCATTTGGGAATTGCCTAATCCTCATTTTGATGCAATATTCTGGAATGATCTTTTGTCTACCTCTTCTGTCCTCTCTCAGGGCTTGCCCTGTCCCCCACTGCCCAGTACTCTTACAGAGTCTCTGGCATTTCCATCCTGTGGTCATGGAAGACTGGGCCTGGTTCCTTTCAGCATCCATCAGTGCAACCTTTTTTTTCAGTCAGCTACAGAGTAATAGGAGACTCTCCCTGTGCCCAGAGGGAAGAATGTTTTTGTGATGCTTCCTGCTACCTGTCAGCCATGAGAGAGGAGGCTTGAAGGAGGAAGATTGAATCTGATGAGGATTCTGATTGCTTTCACTCAGTCATTGCCTTGACCCCCCTCAAGCCATCTGAATATCCTGCCCTCCCTACTCCCTTGTTTCCATTTCTGCTCTCTCCTTCTCCTTTTCCACCCTCCCTCATGGAAGTGCAGATTCTCCTGTACAGAAATGTGGCCCGAGGCCACTGCCAGGAGAGGAATGGGAATGTCAAAGATTGCTCAATATTCAACTCTTTTTCCTGCGTTACAACCGGGAACCCTCTGCCAGCAAGTGCGTAAGTGATTTTTGTTCAGGCTTTATAATAAAGAATGTGACAAATTTGGCAAGAAGTGAGACTCCTATTTGCATCCTGTTTAAATACCATTCATAGAGACTGGAGGCATTTCCATGTGCTTATTTTGCCAGAGAGAGCCTCTTGTCAACAGATGACAGCAGCTGTAGTACTGTTAAGTTTTACTGGCTCTCCGTGGGCTTTCCATCCTGCTTCAGCTCTCCCAGAAATCTATCACTGATTGTCCAAACAGTAATGCTTCTTTGCAGGTGCCTGAATTAATCACAGGATCCTGTGTCACCTCTAGAAGGGGTATGCTGCACCAGGGCACAGGTGGAATTGGAAGGGATATGTCTTTAGCACATGTAAACACAAGCTAGGACAGGTCTTGGGAGGAACATCTGAGTCATATTCAAGTCAGTAGGAGGTCCTTGTAGTGTAATTTGTCCTTTTCATTCTCTGGTCCGTTCTGAGAGACTCTAATGATACGTTTATAGTCTTTTGATTTCAGTCTGAACTATAATTTGGATTGTGCGAGCTATCAGAAAGATTTTTAAGGCATATCTGGAGATGTCAAACTAAATACCAAATACTAGACATTTGTAGTTTGAAGGAAAGCTGCTTTCTAGACTGAACAGTAAACACCCTGGTGTATTCTGAAGGTAAGGAATAACAAATTCTGGATAAAAAGAGAACGACATGGCATCAAAGAGTTTCAACAACATACATGTTTATCTACAACACGCAACGACTGATATAATCTCATCAGTTTTGTAGAAGAGAGGCAGTAATTGCTCAAGGTTAAGCCACTTCTCAACTTTTTTTCTCTGTCTACAAAGATGAATGCCTTTGCAGAGATCAAGTGTTGCACATTGTCTTGCTGTATGGTTGTGACACATGATTTTACAGATGTTGTTTTCTTTTTCATCTAGTACAAACATCTTCCAGGATTTTGACTCATTTCCTTAAGTCTCTTTCAGCTGTTCAGAGAATGGCTAGAGGAAATGAGGTCTGATATCCTAATGCATTATATTTACTGTAAACACCCTCTCACTTTAAGTATAGAACTTTGGTTTTTAAAAATTTCTGAATGTCTTTCTGACTACTCCCCACTCCCCTTGCTGATGTTTGTGTCCTTTAGAAACTTATCTTCCCTGGTTCAGACTTCTCAGCCATAACAGGGCTTAAGGTGTTCATTGTAACCTTAGGCAGGAGAGAAGAGCTGATGGTAAAGACATCTACTAAAAGTGGTGGATTTCACACTGGATTTCAGTGTGTTACATATTTTGCACATTTATTAAAAAAATCTGAAGAGAATGCACATAGAAATTACTAAACCTTGAAATGAAAGGAATTTTAAAATTACTACTATTCTTCTATATTATTTTACTGCAGAAGCATTTTGCTTGGCTTTTTCAGTGACTCTTAGGAAACCAGAAAGATTTTTTTCCAACGGGACCCTCTTTGACAATGAATCCTACAAACAGTCATAAATGAACGTAATTTTATGTGTGTTAGCAGTCTCCTTGGCTGGTTGCCAAACCTAATGACAACTGAAGTGTATTGTTTGTCCACTGGCCAAGATTGCTGCCGTTAGTGATAAAAGCGTAAGGAGAGTGTAAATATCTGTGTTTGAAGGGAGAATGTGACTCCTCTTTTCTAGGGTATACCAATTAGAAAGCACAGTAAATGTTATTCTCTCAGTGGATTTACTCTAGGGGATTATATTGATTTATTCTGAAAACATAAGTTTTCAGATTTAATGGATTTTTAATGATATTTTTGTGGGGGTTTGAAAAATTGAGCCAGAGTAAACCCATGACAATTTTTCATGTCCAAAGAATACTTTTTTTTTTTTTTTTTTTTTAGCAGCACAGCTCTTGGCTTTAACAGCAAACAGGCATGTAAATAACAGAAAAGTTTCTAATGTTGCTATTATGCTATGCAACTCCTGGGATGCTCCATGTGGATCCTGGAGATTAAACTAGAATGAAGCATCACTGATAACATGAGCTACAGGGTTTTTTGTCGCTGGGGGTGAGGAGCGTGTGGGGTGTGCTGACCGCATTAAATGTCTATAATTTTAAATGCCATCTTGACAGTTGAGTCTGTGATCACATAACATGATCATTAAATATTTGATACGGAAAAGAATTCTCTGGTCAACTATGCATTGACGGTTGTAAATCTAAGTGATAAAGAGGATGCACAGTCTGATTTAAGTTAATAAGAGATGAAAACTGGCAGGGAAATCAGAGAGATGCATCTCTTACATGTTCTTTGGGAACCTGGCAAATGCCAGGTTAGTCTTGCATCTCCTTTCTTTTCCCATCAGTAATTGTTTTAAGCTAAGCAGTATTCCTCTGCTTATGCGGGGTGAACATATTCCTCATGAGGGATCAGAGAACTGGAGCACCTCTCCTATGCAGACAGGCTGAGGGAGTTGGGGTTGTTCAGCCTGGAGAAGAGAAGGCTTCCACTACCAAAAGGGGCCCCTACAAGAAAGCTGGAGGGGGACTTTTTACAAAGGCACGTGGTGGTACGACGGGGTAAACTGAAAGGGGGGAGGTTTAGATTAGGTGTTATGAAGAAATTCTTTACTGTGAGTGTGGTGAGATGCGGGACCAGGATACCCAGAGAAGTTGTGGATGCCCCATCACTGGAAGTGTTCAAGGCCAGGTTGGGATGGATCTTTGGGTAATGTAGTCTAATGGAAGGTGTTCCTGCCCACAGCAAGGGGTTGGAACTAGATGATCTTTAAGGTCCCTTCTAACCCAAACCAATCTATGATTCTATGACATGAAGTGGACTTCTTTTACAGAAAGGCTTTGTGCAAAAGTCACACAGGAAAAAGAAATCAAGCTTTTTGGTTATAACCTGTCATTCAGAGCTTGCATGCTTTGAAGGGGGAGGAAACATCTCAGTGAGCTGGGTAATAGAAATATTTTGGATGTTCACATACCTAGACGGTTCAGAACTGACTAGATTCCTGCTGAAGGGTATCACGAGATTTAAAACTTGCTCTTGGCTCTCTTAATCTGTTTTTTGTTCAGGGCTTAATGGCAGCAGTTATGTCACATGTCCAAGGTTTTGTCCACAGCCCTCAGGACTGGAAACCTCACTCTTTGCTGAATGAAATCTGGCTTTATCATGCATTCACCTGCCTCCTGCAGCCAGGTTTCTAAGAGACATGGCAAGTCTTGGGAAGCTCCCACAGAACTGTAGGAGTAAGGTTGGAGGAGACCTGCAGAGATCTGGTCTATCCCCTGCTCTTCCCTGTAGTAAAACAGAGCATTTAGACTTTGTCTAACAGGCTGTAAGGCAGACTTGTGGTGCAGAGTCTACCACGCATTTTTTCCAGCACACAGTTGTTAAAGGTCAAAAGCTTCTTCCAATACCTAACCTTATCTCCCTTGCTGGTTGCTTAAGTGCATCCTTTTTCCCCCCCGTCTATTGGATAGAATGAACTTCTGATCACTGTGCTATTTATAATAATATTTTACACATTGACAATGTAACACTGTTGACTTCACTTTTCTGTGTAAACCTTTTCTAGCCTTTTCTTTTAGTGTATCTTCTGTAACTCCTCGTCCTCTTCTTGTTAGCCCTCTCCGACTGGTTTTCATTTCCTCCAGCTACAATGTGTAAAATTGATATCTGACTGCACATGAGAAATATAGTTACCACTTCAATAAAAGTTACCTCCCCCATACTACATGCTCCAATTTGATTCAAAGCATTGTAAATCTGATTTTAATCATGATTTAAATCAGCCAACAGTAAGCCTCG